CACTCGAGGGGTTAGGGTCTGGAATGTACTGTCTGAGAGTGTGGGGGGAGGCAGGTTCAACTGAGGCTTTCAGAAGGGAAGTGAGTTGTTATCTGATCGTTATATATTTTTAGGGCTCTGGAGAAAGAGCAGGTCAAGGGGAGTAGCACTTAGACATGATGGGCTGATTGTCCTGCTTCAGTGCTGAATCCCCATTTTCCAATTCTCTGATTTTCTCCCACTGTAACTGAGATGGTGACTGAAGCTAATAGCGGCCCTCGTTGCAAAGTGAACGTGAGCAGAGATGCAGACCGCCGACTGTTTGATCAATCTCACTGATCAGTTGTTGGTTTAGTTTCACCAAGACTCAACTGGATCCAGTGCTGGCTGCTTTCACTCAGTCTGTCTGGTGTTTAAGTGTGAGGCGCCTGAGTTGATTTTGGCACTGGGATTGATCATTTGAATCAGTGCCAACTCAGATGTTGCCTGATAAACGTTAGCAGTAATCTCCTTGTCCTCTTTACAACATAGCATGTTACTTCTCCCACTTCTGGTTTCTGTTTAATTGCAGTCAAGCTCTCTCACAGCTGCTAAATTGCAATTGCAAATTCTTCACCTCTAATGAAATATTTCTCTGCGTATTTGTTTCTTTACTGCCGAAAGAAGTGAAGCAGGCATAGTATGTTGTTCTTTATCTCATTCATGGGTGTTACTGGCTGGGCCCAGCATTTATTGCCCGTCCTTAGTTGCCCCCATGAGAAGGTGGGGGTGAGCTGCCTTCTTGAACCGCTGCAGCCCATGTGCTGTGGGTTGACCCACAATGCCCTTAGGAAGGGAATTTCAGGATTCTGACCCGGCGACACTGAAGGAACGGCGATATATTTCCAAGTCAGGATGGTGAGTGACTTGGAGGGGAACTTGCAGGGGGTGGTGTTCCCATGTATCTGCTGCCCTTGTCCTTCGAGATGGAAGTGGTGGTGGGTTTGGAAGGTGCTGTGTGAGGATCTTTGGTGAATTTCTGCAGTGCACCTTGTAGATAGTACACACTGCTGTTACTGAGCGTCAGTGGTGGAGGGAGTGCCGCCTTCAGGAATCTGTAGATATTTACATCAAGGCCCCTCTAATCATCAGAACTTTCCAGAGTCCTACCATTCTCAGTATTACCCCTTGTTGAGTTTCCCCTCTCTCAGTACATTACCTCACATGTTCTGGGTGAATTCCATTGGCTACTGCTCTGCCCAGCTGACCAGTCTGTTAATACCCTCCTGCAGTTTATGGCTGTCCTCCTCAATATTTACCACTCGAACAATGTTTGTGTCATCCTGGGGAGTGTTGTTGAACAAAGAGACCTTGGGATGCAGGTTCACAGTTCCTTGAAAGTGGAGTCCCAGGTAGACAGGATAGTGAAGAAGGCATTTGGTACGCTTGCCTTTATTGGTCAATGCATTGAGTTAAGAGTTGGGAGGTCATGAAGTGGTTGTACGGGACATTAGTTAGGCCGCTTTTGGAATGCTATGTTCAATTCTGGTCTCCCTGCTATAGGAAAGACATTGTTAAACTTGAAAGGGTTCAGAAAAGGATGTCACCAAGGCTGGAGGATTTGAGCTACAGGGAGAGGTTGAATAGGCTGGGGCCATTTTCCCTGGAGCATCAGAGGCTGAGGGGTGACCTTATAGAAATTTATAAAATCATGAGGGGCATGGATAGTGTGAATAGCCTGGGGCGGTGGAGTCCAAAACTAGAGGGCATAGGTTTAAGTTGAGATGGGAAAGATTTAAAAGGGAGCTAGGAGACAACATTTTCATACAGAGGGTGGTGCGTGTATGGAATGAGCTGCCAGAGGAAGTGGTGGAGGCTGGTACAATTACAACATTTAAAAGGCGTCTGGATGGGTATATGAATAGGAAGGGTTTAGAGGGATATGGGCCAAACACTGGCAAATGGGACTAGATTAATTTAGAATATTTCATCAGCATGGACAAGTTTGACTGAAGGGTCTGTTTCCATGGTGTACAGCTCTATGATTCTATGACAAATGTGTTGATTATTTCCCTACATTTAAGTCCAAATCATTAACATACACCACAAACAGTATGGGTCCCAGCACTGAGGTCTGTGGAGCCCCACTGGGAACAGATTTCCAGTCACAGAAACATCGCTGTACCATCATCCTCTGCTTCCTGCCTCAAGGCCAATTTTTATCCAATGAGCGACTTTGTCTTGGATCCCATGGGCTGTTGTTTTCTTTACCCGTCTGCCATGGGGCATCTTATCAGAAGATTTTTTTAAAGACAATGCAGACCACATCAAATACATTGCCCACATCAACACTCCTGGTTACCTCCACAAAAAAAATCCTCAATCATATTTGTTGCACTCCCTCAGAAATGTAGAATTCCTAAAGTACAGAACAAGGCCATTTGTGCCATTAAGTTTGCACCAACCCTCTGAAGAGCATCCCATCCAGATCGATTTATTCCCATAACCCCACATTTAGCATGACCAATCCACCTAACCTGCACATCTTTGGATTGTGGGAGGAAACTGGAGCACCCAGAGGAAACCCACACAGACACGGGGAGAATGTGCAAACTCCACACAGACAGTCACCTGAGGGTGGAATTGAACCCACAGCCCTAGCGCTGTGAGGCAGCAGTGCTAACCACTGA